TCGTATGAGATAAACTACAAATAAAATATTTGTCTAAATAAAAATATTAAAAATAGAAAAATAATATTTAAAAATACTTATATTCCTCTAATAAATTATCAATTATAAAATAAATGACAAAAAAAATTATTTTTACTCCCCAAATAACTATCAATAATCCAACTTAATAATCAATCAATATCTGAATGCTTTCTTCAATCCCATCTTCTCATTTCACCAGACAAAAAACACATAAAAATAGACACTTCAAAATAAGTAAAAAGAAACCATTCAGAAACCGTAAATAAACTACTATATTACAAAGACAACTTCATTCAAATCTTCATTTCATACATTGTCCAGTAGAGATAAACACTAATAAATTGTTGTTAGCTAGAGTTAATAATTCGTTAACAGTTTAGAGAAGTCATTAAAACTAATTAATGGTAGATTTAGTTTGGATGATAACGTAACTGAAACTGAACTTCTCTCATTTTTTTTTTAAAAAAAACAATTCTCCTCATTGCTTTCTTTTTTTTTTTTTTTAAATTTAATTAATACGAAATTATTACAATTTAGTTGTTAATCCTCATGCAATCCACCCTTACTTGCCGCCATTATTAGTTAGTAAAAGTTCGTTGAATAAATATATAAATTTAAATTTTTCGCGTTTCAACGCGCGGTCAATTAATTATCAAATAGATTATTCTTAAATATAAACGATTTCAAACTGTTTTGAATAAAATACACTAAATAATTCACCGAAACTTTCGAAATTACATGAATATTTGAATTTACTTATCATAGTTGTTACTCCCAAAAATCAATCATTTTGAGTAATTTTTGAAGAAAAATACAAAATAATTCAACGAATCTCACGGAATTATATGCACTACAATCAGTGTTTTAAATAAGCGCAATTTAGCGCGCTATAGCGCATTTTTACACAAAAACACGACATAGAGTATATAATTTCGCGCAGTTCCAGAAAAGCGCACGCAATTTACGCTATATATAGCGCTATTTACGCTATTTGCGCTATTTCTCACGCTATTGAGTGATGCCGACGAGAGTGCGTTGGCGTTTCTCGATAAACATGATCTGCTCCGGTCTTTCGTTTGATATTATTTATGTTGTGTGTTGGGCTTGTTTGTATTTATTTATGTTGTGTGTGGGCTTGTATTATAATGGGCTTTTAATATTATGTGTTTAGGAGAAGTACTATTAATAACCGTAGGAACATGTTGTGAACGGCAATTTTTTATCAGAACATTGAAACTGTTATCTGTGTTCTTCGTTCTCAGTGAACAATCATCTTAATCTCTCCTACACATGCTTTACGCTGCATCATTTTGGTATCATTTAGGCAATCCTTATTTATAGGTAAAAAATAAAAAATCAAATAATAAAATACAAAAAAAAAAACATAGTGCACAAAATTGAGTAATTTCTCTCATGGCGAATTTGAGTGATTATTGATCATGTTTCGTATTTATCTTGAAAAAAAATTATTTGAAAAATTGATATCAACATAGCTATAATTGACCTTTTGGACTATTAGAATAATGTGATTTTTATGTTAAGCTCAAAAATAAAATGGATAGAACACTTCATTTTTTCTCTAAATGATGAGGAGATGCAAGAATGGTGAAATTGTACCAATTCTTTATTGTAGCGAAATTCCCCATAATTTTGATAGAATTGATGATCATAGCTAAATTCAATTGGATAACACCTATCATATTAAGATTTTGAGTCTTTACTTTAAATATTAAGACTTTGGTTGTTTGAAGAACTAATATTTGAATGTCATTTTTTAGATTCAATGTCCAAATTAGTTTATGGTTTAAGACCATTTTAATTATTTATTTGCTTGTAAGGCTGTATATTATTATTTTTGGCATTAAAAGTGAATTGCTCGAATAGCTTACGCAACGCGCTACGCTATTTGCGCTACAAAATATAAGGACCAAAACGCGACGCATTGCGCGATGTACGTTTTAAAACACTGACTACAATACAAGTATTACACGGTCACTTGATAATTTTTTTTAATTAAATAAAAATAACAAATAAAATATTTTAGCTTTTAAATACTTTTTTTCGAAAAATATATGATTATTTATGTTTAAAATGACACCGACACTTACACGTATTATCCTTATATTATTATTTTTTAATTTATATTTGATAATTACTTTCTAGTTAAATTAGTTTAAATAACTTTATTTTTCTGAATTAATATTAATAGGCAATTTAATTTTAATTATAAATAAAAATAAAATTATTTATTTATTTTGTATGTATAATATAGATGTCAAATCGAATCTCATCAAAACATGATTAATTTGATATATTATATTATAAAAAATTGTTAATAAATAAAAAAATTATTTTTTTTTTCCGAAACGATAGATATAATAAAGAAGAGCACAAAAGTGCAAAAAGAACAAATTACACGGCCCTAACGGGGTAATCTAAGGCCCCAACAGGGTAATGAGACAGGGGCCAACGACCCAAACCAAAAACACTCCTAAAAACAACAGGAATAGAAAACTGAGAGGACACGCACATGGCGGCCTAGAGAACTCCACAACCGAAAGATAAAAGAAAATGAAAAATAGAGCCACTGCACAATGCCTAGCCTGTTTTCATCTCCGTAACAGAAAAATAAGACACAAGCAAACACAAAAAACGAAACAAAACAAAAACATAGAAAATATAATAAATTCTACACGCCCTTCCCCATCGAACTAGCAGGCCCGATCCAACAGTGAACGATCAACACAAGACAGTTCCAGGCCAAGAACCTGCTACCGAAACTGCAATCAAGCCTATACAATAGCAGAACCTTAACCCCGAAAAGTCCCAGAATCGACCCATCAAAAACCGAGAGAGCCAAAGTCCGCCCCATACCGATTCAACCGGACTCTTCTAACACCACTAGTCGAGGCCGATAAGTCCTCCCCCGCCGCCTAACACCACTAGTCAAACGGGAGATTGTACAAGGGAAAACCGGTCCTCAACCCGACCGCTGCAACAGGAATGCCGCAGAAATCGAGCCCTGTGTTGGTATGGCTCATATATTGACAAAGGAAGAGAGCAGGCTGATGCCTGCGAGCGTAACGGAGCGAACGTAGCGAGGGAAGCGGAGCGACCGAGCGAAGTGAGCGGAGTG